GGTAACGAGGCCGCCTGGCAGGCGAGGTGCGAAGCCCGCAGGACGTGAGGCGACCGCCCCGCCGGCTCCCTGACGCGCTCGCCAGAGGTTCACCCTTAGTGGTGGTTTGACTTTTTGGGTTGTCGGGTTTATTTTTTTAACCTCACAAAAAAAAATGACTTCGCGTAGTGCGTTGTGGACTCCGTGTGGTCAGTAGGAGTTACTGTCTGAACTGGCACGTTGCTCCTTCAACATGCAAGTTGCTGTTTCTTTTTAAGGATTTTTTTTTTTTTTTGAGAAATTGAATTTGCGACTGTAACCCAGACACTCGAGCAACACCTTTGAAGACTAGGGTGTTTTTAAAAGAAGTTAAACATTAAAAGTCGCAGCTGTTAGCGTGCGAGCGTCTTAAGTACCTGACTGATAGCTCCACCTGCTGCCTAATGGGAAGAGCACATTGTACCGGCGGACATTTTCTTTCTTTAGGTAGTGTGTTGTCATGGTAACCGATTCCTGCGCGCAGAAAGTCTGCGAGACGTAAATCAGGAGTTTTAAATACTTAAATTAAAACCCAAAATGTTCAATACTTCCTTTAAACAAAGAGTGTATGAGGTCGGGAAAGGACAGGGAGAAGCCCAAGGAATCGGGGACTTATGTGACCGAAAGAAAAATGTAAGGTTTTCCTCCCTTAGATGTGTGTAAGACCGAGTGATGTTTGTAACCCACTTGAGTAGCTACGTATTTCAACCACCTGGCCCTAACGGTAGGCCTTTTCCACCTTTATTTTGCCAAAAGTCTTGACTAGCCTCATGACTACTGTAATCAAGAGGTTAATCCAGTTTCCAGGCATCAATTTAAACTTGATTCTTGCTGGAATAATGCAGAGAGCAAGCTGATTAAATTTACCTTGTGATGAAAGGGAAAAATGTTACTTCAGTAAAGTGAAAACCTTTGAATAAGCCCTAAGTTTCCTAATACACAGAAATTTGATTTCAAAGATACTGAGAAGGACAGACAAATTAACCCCACTTAGGGTATTTTTGAAGAGTTGAGTCACTTCAGCTGATGCTGTAGTTTTGGGGTAGCCAATTATCAAGTTCAGGATTTTCCAGATTTTGAAAACTTTCGGTGGTTTAGGATTTGGACATTGATTCAGCAGCAGAGTTCTTTGTCCATACTGTATGTGAAAGTATATTGTTTACCTAATGCTACCTTAGGTAGTCAAATAACATTTTACCAATGCAGTGTGTAATTAATGTGGTTTTAGGTAGGGCAGTATGCTGTTCCAGTTCACAGAAGTTTTGCGTTGTAGTACTGAAGACTTGAAAAGTAACTTTGAAAGAATTTGTTTCCTGTCGTCTTACTGTAAGACTTAACCACGGTGCATTTTTCAACAACAGCTCTTTTTCAAGTTCTGAGAAATAAAGATATTAACAGGTCCCAAAGCTTATTTTTGATGTTGACCGATTTGTTAGAATGCCTAAGTAGCCTCTTTGCTTCCTTTGTAAAAGCATTAAATGAGTGTATTTTCGTTGAAAATTTTGTTCTGCGTCATTAGTGTGAGAAACGCATGCTGCACTAACATGGCAGCCGAGGCCATGGATGACTGCATACCAGCAGGATCTGCGTGCCTACCCACTTTCTTGTGCTGCTTCTAGCACTTGTTGGGTGCCTCTGCTGTGAGCTGTTTCCTGTTCTAGGTTGCCAGAGAGCACGGCAAAGTGAATATTTTTTTTTCTGGATCTGTTCCAGCAAACCTGGCTAGAAGAGAAGTAGAAGCCAAGTCAGGCCGGTTTAAGGTTGCTGTGGAGTTGCAGTCTCAGATTCCAGTTCAAATGCGCTTTAGCTTGGGGTGCAGCCACAGAAGTGGTCTTTTCACCTCTTGTTTTGATTTTGCATTTGTTGTATTCTTATACTAGCACAAGTATTTACTTAGCTGCAGAATGAGCTCGGATCAGAAGTGGATGTGTCTGAAAAGTAGTACAAAATTTTTATCCTGTGAAATGTAAGCGTAGGATTGATTTCCCTGCACGGTGATATGAAGAGTTGTTGTGGTACAATAGGAAGGAAGGGGGAGAACTACCCTCTTTCTGTTTACAGCAGAAATGTTGTATTACACAATCTTCATTGCCATGGAACAGTGGAAGTTGCTGTCTCCCAACTTCACTGGAGGGTAGAGGGTGTTCTTAGATGATAAAGGGAAAGGATCAACTTAAAACTTCTGTTGAGAATTTGCAGTAGGAAGCATAGTTTGTAAGTAAATTGAGCATAGGCAACAGTATCTGGTGTGATGGAATCGGATTCTGTCCGGGGTGTAGCTTCATGGACTGGTTTTGAACTGACTTGATGGTTTAGTGCTTCTCAGAATAGGCTAAGCTGCCTCCATCTGTGTTTCCTCTTATGCATCCACTGATCCTGAGGTGGATCTGGTGCTTGTCTGATTCAATAGTAAGCTGATTGAATTCTCTACAATAGCAGAATACTAATTGGGTGAAAAACTGCTCACTTTAATCTTCCTGCCAAATTTCTTGAGCCAGCTTAATTTGAACTGACAAGTGTTAGAACTTGTGCAGAGGAGGTGCGGGCAAACCCTCTCTGGCTTTTAGTAATGGTGTGTTGTTAATTTGGTTCAGTCACACTGAAATCATATTTGGAGGGCTGAATTCTCTTTTGGCTTTGTTTAATTGCTGGGCAAATAAAGTGCTACATGTATAATTCGGTTCTTGTAATTTTCTCATTCCCTTACTGGGTGTCCAGTTTGAATGCGTACTTATCACTCACAGCTGCAGTTCAAGTGTGCATTAAACACAAAAATTGTTACATTGAAAAATTGGATGCTACCTATTGCAAATTATTAGGTTTCAAAATAGCAGATAACTTTGACTAAATCAAAGTTCAGAATATCTGAAGTAGGGATAATGCCAGACCAGTTGAATTGTAAAGAAAAGCTTATTAATGTTTAAAGTACAGGGGGATGAGTGACACTGAACTTGTCAGAGTAGTTTGTTCTTAGCAGCCAGGCAAAGCATGGCACATTGGTAGAACTATTCATTCAGGATAGTAGAAGACATGGGGTCCTATAGAGTTTGTGGTGGCCATGCTGCTTATGTTGTGTTTTAGTTTTTGTAAAATACACTTGTAAAACATGCTTCAGACCTTACACAGAGTATGAAGTGCATGTTTGCTAGCATCAGTAACAAGAAATGGAATTGTATATGGTCTGTTCATCTGAAAAAATACTGTATTACTGTTTGTTTTAGGAACCATTCTATCTTCTTCTGCACTGAATGATTCCCTAACTCCTAGGTTGTGTCAAAATGCTTTAGGACCAAAAGGGTGTGTCTGAAGCAGGAGCGAGCAAAGCATATCGTGATTGTAGTTGCTCTATAATGTTCTTTTGTGCATGCAGTGTATGCTTCACATTCTGCTTTGGTGCAGACAACTCAAGTTCGTAGTCATTTATATTCCTGTTGTATTTAAATTGACAAAATCTTTTTTCTGATAAAATTCCATCAAGGTCTCACTTCCCTTCTTGTAGCTAACTTACAGTTTAACTCTTGTTACCTGTGCTCTTAAGACTGTAAGCTTACTCACATCTCAAGTATTCAAAGCTTTTGACCAGAAAGGTGATGGGATTTGTTCTGTTGGCTAATCAATTTACAGTAAATTATAAATTAAATTCTTTAAATATACTGCTTACATCTGAAAGGAATTCAGTAAAGTTCTGAAATGAATTATTTTGCTGTTCTTGCTGTGTGTCTAGTAGTAGCAACAGTGGTCATGAAGCTTCATATAGCCAGACAGGGCTACTTAAATTAGCCTAGGTTAGGTCTAGATTTAAATTTTTAAAGCTTAAGTAATTATTTTAAACTTTTTTCCAATGAATGATCTGTTTGCAGCAAGTACTTACTTTAAGGAATTAGGAAGGTGCTTTTGAAATTCATTCTTCCAGGCTGTATCTGTAGAAAGATGCAGGCATTCTAGTATTTTGAAGTGTACTGTTATAATTCGACTTAAATATGTTTTTGTTTAATTGTTTAATTTTTTCAGTCGGCAAACATGGAGGCTCAGCGTGCAGGTGTCTCAGAGGACAATACCCCTTTGTCAACAACCAGTACGGGCTATGTTTTTCCAGAAGGAAAAATTATGCCAAACACAGTCTTTGTTGGTGGCATTGATATAAAGGTATTTATATACTTAAAATTGCTTAAGATGGGTATAGGGCACTTCAGTGGGAAGGAAATGGGAATTAAACTGGGGTATTTTATTTAATGTGTCTTTACCAATTTTAAGGTATTGCAGTGTCATGAGAGAATTTTGGAACAGGTGAGTAACTTCAGTTCTTATGGTAGTAGAAGAAGGGTTTAAAAAATGGTACTGGCTGCTTTAAATCAGTTCTACACAGCTGAATGTGTTTGAAGTTTAAAACTTGGTTTCTTTTAGATGAATGAAGCAGAAATCCGGAGTTTCTTTGAACGATATGGTACTGTGAAAGAGGTGAAAGTAATCACTGACCGATCTGGAGTTTCCAGAGGGTGAGTAGAATATGAATAGTTGTTTCAGGTTGCTGCCTAGGTGGTTGTAATTCTGTCATAGATGTTAGGAGCAGCTACTTAGCAACACACTTGACATGCTTAAGCCGTAATGCTAGGTGCATTTTTCTGTCGTAAGTAAATGCTGTGAAACCTGTAAATCTAGGTTGTTCTGTAATCTGTATAATCTTATAAAGAATAGCCTTATTTTTCTGACTTCAGTTTATCTGTTCAGGGAAGAGAGGGTTATTGCCACTTAGCCAGTGGAAACAAAGCTTGAAACTTGTATGATGCTTATGCATCATGTTTCATAGGATTTTTCTGATGGCTGGAGTAGTGAACAAACAACAACCTGGGAGAGTTCAGGATGGCTAAGAGAATGGGTAGGTGATCTGTTCTGGACAGTAGGACTGTGATCTTTTGACACTCAGGGATAAGTTAGAAAACAACCAAACTCATTTGGCTGAAGAGTGAAACTGAACAAAGTTGAAGCAAGCAAAGTTCTGACTGGATATATAGAATTCTCAATTAATTGTCTGTAGTGAAACACTTAAATAAGGATGTGTAGGACCTTGGTTCTGGGGAACCTCTTCCAGGTTTGAAGTTATCCCTGCTTTGAGAAGGAGGCTTTACTCTCTGGATATTTCTTCCAGCACAGTTCTTTTTCTATCATTCTATAAGCAGATCTTAAAAGGTCTCATTTTATCTTAGGCATATGTATTAATTCATGAGCTGGAAATATGTTTTATTTCCTCATATCACTTGCTAGTCTTCATGGTGAATTCTGATGTGCAATTAGGCAGTGTATGTTCTGAGTATTAATAATGAATTCGCATACTCTATTAATTGGCACAACTGTGTTCCTATAATGCTCTGAAATGATCTTCATTTTATGGACTAGATAAACTAGGGGGGCAGTGAAATTGAAAAACCTTCAAGGATAACTTCCCCCACTGGTATTATGTTCCTGTAATTTCTGCCTTCATCCAAACTCTGTACTAAGTACAAATTTGGATGATAATTCAGATCTTAAAAGGCTTTTTTTTTTTTACTTTGAGTTAGTAATACCAACAATAGTGTTCAGTTTGAGTAGCTGAAATGGAAGAATAGCCCTTCTGTTTCATACTATTCTAGAATCTGGCATTCAGTTCCTTTCATCTGGCCCAGTAGTATATGCTGCTGGTCAGCAGTAAATAGATTTTCATGCGGAATTATAAATTCACGCCCTACTTCTGTCATGCAGTATTATGTACCTGGCATATATGCTGTTAACAGATCTTCTTCCAAATGATGCAACTAACAGATCAAAAAATCTGATTATTGAATAACCTGTTTTTTCTTTTCAGGTATGGATTTGTATCTTTCCTGGACAATGTGGATGTTAAAAAAATTGTGGAAGTAAGCTCTTTGTCTAAATTATCTGAAGAAGTTAATATATGAAGGTTGGAGATATGTTCAGGGGAAACCAAATTATGTACCCTGTAGAGTAAAGGCAAGGCCAAAAAGCAAACTTGCTGAAGTCTACTGGTGGGTAGAGCCTTTGTATATTTGAGGAAAAACAAAATTAGTCTTAGCCTTGGTGTGCTGAATGTCTTACGTCATTCTGTTTCTGGTCGTTCTCATTCATTTATGTGCTTGAAAGACTCACATGTATGTTTGGCTGCTTGCTTTCTGTATGGGATGATCATCTTTGAACTCTGGTGCTTTTGGCAGATAAATAGTCATGTCAGCATTACTATTGGGAATAACAGTAACATGGAAAACAGGATTAATTTTTTTACTTTCACCTGAGCAGTTGAAGTATGTGTTTCTCTTTTGCAGTATTTGTGCATTTGGATGTTACCCAGAGGGCAAGTATTTTTTTTAAGCCTCCTTGACTGTAAGATGCAACTTGTTCACATATCGTACAGTTTTTCCTGTAGCTCACATAGGAGGTAAAGGGCTAGAACTGTTTACAGCTCTCCTGCTCTTAGAGTTCAGTATCAGAAATTTTAAATCTCAGTGCTTGCAACCACATCTGTTATTTGGCTCTGATAAACTTCAGCAGGTCACAAAACACTGACAAAGCTTTTTGTTTTGCTATCTCCCAAAATGGAGTGGAATAACTGAAAATAACGTGTATTGAAATACTTTCCTCTGAAGTCTTTGCTTCAGAAAGCTCCCATGTTCCTAGAGGATGAATAGTCTCTCACTTGCTTCTGAAGCTCTCGGATAGGAGAGTAGATCTGGAAGACAAATCCAGATAAATGTGCTAGGCACCAATCTAGTGTTCTGTGATATGTTCAGCTGTGTTCACTGGCTGTCCAGCTCCTTAAAGGGCAAGAGAACATGTTCAAACAAAGTGGAGAGCAGTGAAATTTCAGCAGGAGGTTCTTGATGCTTGCCAAAAAGCTTCAAAAGCTTGCTTTAACTCATGGTAAGCTGACAAAAATACTGCTGTATTGGGACTTTATATGAGAACACCTTTTTATTACCATGGGTTACAGTTATTGTACTAGATCAGTGTTGGAATGCTTGCTGTGAGGCAGCAACCTCTTTAGAGGTCTGGAGTAGCATTGTCCTTTCATCCATGCTCATTGGTGTTTTTCTGTGTATTTCTTCAAAACTATAAAAGTGTTCTGTATCTCTGTTAATATAGGACTCACTGATGTGACTTTGTATACCAGAGCTCTTGAAAGACCTGGAGATATATGGTGGATTTTATTTTCAGTGTGAATTGCAGGTGTACAGGCAGTAAGTAATTGCTGCCTTGTCAGGAAGAAGCATGTCCAGATAAAAGTCATCTTACAGAGCTGTTGACTTCTGAAGGGGATGGAAAAAGGGAAAGAATGAAAATCTGCATTTTAGAGCTCAAGTCATAAGCAGAGATCACCTTGCTAAACTGTTTTGGACATTATCTGTAGTGAGTGGTCACAGTGTTTTATGTAAATGAACACAATAGAGTCTCTCCATGGTTAGCACTCTAGATGCCTGTATTTATCTGCCTAGCTCTATAACTTTGTGCAGCATGAAAGTATTTTGTCCGATTCCATTTGTAACTGCATTTTGGTCCATCACGAACCTGTTTGCAGTTCAGAACAGAAAGCTGCCTTCTGCTTTGAGGGGAGGTCTGTCTTCCAAGAGCTCTCGTTGCTCAGGTGGAAAAGGTGGTTGCATGGTTCTGGGCACAGTATTGCAGGATCAGTTAAAAAAAACCCCAAAACAAACTTGTCAAACTACTAGTCAGGGTGTTTCACCTTTTTTCCACCCATGTCTTATTTATTCTATTTTTATCAGTATGAGAAGATGATCAAAGGAGACATTTTTTTATATTTTTTCTGCTTATTTTGCTTATTTTTACATTGGACAATAAAGCTGCTTCTGTCTGTTCGAAGCACTTTCTTTACTAGAAATGTGAGAACAAGTTTATTGAGGTGTCTGTTGAAGTTACAAACTGCATATTTTCTTCTGAAGCAGGCAAGTGTCCTTAGTGTGTGGCATGACATGATAAATCTACATAGTCTGTATCTGCATCTAATTCTGATCTTAATACTTGGTACTAAGTTCGTTAATTGGGGTAAGACAAAAATCTCCTTAGTGTAAAGCATTTGTGAACATCAATGTAGCCCTCTGAACTGTAAGAGTACCTAGTTTAGGTAGTCATGTATGCTATGCACATTTTCATAGGTATGTAAACATGTTTCTAGTTACCATTTTAGCAGAGGATGTGAGGTCAGACCCAAAAGTGAATTCTGTTTTGGGAGTTTTGTGTGGAGAAGTTTCTGAGCACCTGAACAAACATTAATCTGCTTAAATTCATGTATTAAAGCAGCTTTATATACTTCAGACTTAAACTGTAATCTTGTAGAGAACAAATCTTACAGGCCCTCTTCTACAGTCAGTCCAAATAAACCTTGAAGTGTAAGCATGTTGTGGTGCCATTTCAACCTACATTCATCAGTGAATGTTTTAGTTTTCAAACTCTTAAGCAGTTTCACTGAAGAACATAGAATTCAACTTCTGTAGGGGGGGAGAGTGCTTTAAATTCTTCCTGTGCTTTTGTTATGGCTCCAGATACTGTGCTGCAGAACAGTAATAAGTCACTGATCATTGAAAGTCTGGAATCCTGCATTCTGTGTGAACTAGCATTTCGGCAGAACTTGGAGGATGAGAAGTTAAATGTGCTTCCAGCATTTGCTGACTACTGAGGAGTGCTTCCAGCCCTGTCTTGCAAGTCTTTCAAATGCTGGGTTTGGGTATTTGAGGAACATGCAGACCTTACTTCAGTTTCACTCTTTCTTGATTAGTGCTACATAGATGCTTTGGCCAGAAACGTTCTGAAATGTCAGTGTGTTTGAATGTTCTGAAGGAATGCACTTGAAAACTTCTCTAGAGAAAATATAGTAATGTGCAGGTAAACAGTGGGGTTTACCCTTCTGTTTCCTTTAATACTAGGTGTTCAACTTCTAACATGTTAAATGGGAGCCTCTTAGGAAGGTTGTGGTAAGGAAGATAAGTGATGATGCAAAGGGGGTTTCAAGGGAACTATGGTCACTACATAAATATCCTTACTGAGGCAAGAATAGTTGAAGTCTGTGTAGAAAATGAGAAGGCTGACAGTCACTACTAATACATAGTTGCAAACTACTGGTAGTGCATGTTGCTGTTGAGGCAAGTGGTGTGTAAATGGTTTTGGAAAGTCAGTAGGCAAATGAGTGCCAAGAGTGTTGCAGGAAATTAAAGGTAAAAGGTGTAAGATGTTGAGGCGGGAGAGGAGGATGGAGGCTGTGGAGCCTGTATGTGAGTTGAGAATACTCTGCTGTAGAAGCAGAGCATAGTGTATAGTCTCTTTAAAATCAAACCAACCACCCACCTTGCTGATTTCCCAGTTTACACAATAACCTGTTTTTCAGTCACAAATCAACTTCCACGGCAAAAAGCTGAAGCTGGGGCCGGCAATTAGAAAGCAACAAAACTTGCGTAAGTATATATAAACAAATTTCTTCATGTTACAAGTATATATTAGAGTTGTTTTTAATTATATGTTAACATACTCGCAAATCCTTTTTATCTGATGCAATATGTGTATTACAGTTAAACTTCAGTTCTGAGTTTTATGACCTCACTACTTGTGTGATAAACAGTTTTGGTGGTAACTCAGTTTGGTAGCACAGTACTATACAGTTAATGTGGAGTTAAATTCGGGAGTCAAAACACTTAAGGTTTTTGCAGCTTGAATTGAGATTACTAATGAAATAGATGTGAAAATGTCTTAAAACTGTATTTCTCTTTGCTTTAAAATAAGGTTCTTATGTACATCCCAGCCCAGTAATCCTCAATCCTGCACCACAGTTCCATAGTGTATGGGGTAATCAGAATACAGAGGTAGTTATGCAGCCTCCAGCTGTAATGAGCCCAGTAACACAGTATGTTCAGGTAAGACCATTCATGTCAATGATTTTGAAACATAATTAAATATTTTTGAAGGTGCAGGCACATACAACTTTAGGAATGTGTATTTGACACTCCAATCTTAATGTACCAGCTTGTTTTCATATTACCTTCCCCAAAAAGAAGCATCTGACTTCAAACCACTTTAAAGAATGTTTTATAACAAAAGAGATTACATCAATGAATTAATTTTCCAAGGTTGTTGACAAAGACAGGGAGATACTTTTTATTTTGAGAATGAGAGGTGGAGCTAAGATTTAATTATGTAACAGTTCTTACAGATGCACTTCACAAATCAAATGCATCCAGATATTTAATGTGCTGCTGCCCTGTGTCAGAATAAACCATCAACTTGAAAAAATACTTTTTCTAAATATGTATGGAATCAGAAGTTGGCTGTGGTACTCTGCCCCCCCTCCCCCCTTTTCTTGTTTCTGAACGACTGTTGTGTCTTTGTAAGAATACTGTGTAACAGCATCTGCTGTTAAACAGCTGTGACCAATACTGTACACCTACAGGACATCACTTGATTGGTACTTAAGACAAGCATTCTTACTGAGATGTAGGCAGAATACTTTTAGCATTGTTTTGAGTCCTATACTGTGAATAGGTGGCTTTCCAGATTATGGTCTCTTCCTGTATTAACCCTACATGATATGACAATCCATCAGGGCACTATTTATCACACAGTGATTGTTTTGTGTATTTTTCTTAAGCAAATGAAGGTGAACAAACTGCAGTGACTTGCATAAATATTTTTTCTGAAGTAGAGTGCTTGATAGTAGATCTGTTGCTGATTCTCTTGGGTCTATTGGGAGAGTGAAATAGTGTCAGAGGAACTAATTCTCTTAAATGCTGGAATGTGCCTTTATTCTCTGAAGAAGCTGAGAAGGTTCCAGGTTAACATTGTGTTAAAATGCTTGCAGTGAAGAAATGCCTGGAAACTTCAGAACTGTAATACTTAATTTGCCTTTGGCTCCAAGAACCTGGTATTCAGTCCATTACTTCATGGTAGTTGATCTGTTTCAGATCTATTTTAGAGAGTTTATGGAATGAGTTCTGAAATGACTTAAAGATCAGCTACAAGCAGATGTGGGATTTTTAGATACGTAATACAATCTCACTTCTAGAGTTTTTTTTAGTGCCTGAAGTTATGAAGCCCAATGGGTAATCTATAAGGGTTGCTTTTAAATAGTAAAGCTAGTCTGAAACAGGAATTGAAGTTACGATGTGACTACGTACCTCTAAAAATGTGCTCCTGGCTTTATAAATACCTTTTATAATACTTTTTATCTTGCTTCAATTTTGCATTTTTTAAAAAACCTTTCATTTTTGCAGACATATCCATACAGTTCACCAGCTTTATTGATACAGCAGCAAGTTCCTGTAGGATACCAGCCAACCTACAACTATCAGGTACGTTATTTTTTAGTAGCAGCAGAAAGGTTGTTTGCTTAACAAAACTTGAATGGAATGAAGTGTTAACTGGAGCCTGATCTTTCTGTGTTTCTCTTCCTGTGAGTGCTATTTCCCTTCAGCTCCTGCTTCACAGGGAAAAAAAAAAAACCAACTCTAGTGTTACTCTAATACAGTGAAAACATTTTAATAACTTAGCATACTTTTTTAGTTTAAACTTTTTTTCTTAAATATGCAATGATACGAGAACTTCCAAATTAGGAAAAGGTACATGGATCAGCAGTACTTTTTCTCATGGGAAGGAATTTCGTGGTTTTACATGCTGTAGTGCAGGTAGTTGATGTTAGTTACTTAAAATAGAATCACTGAGTCTTACCAGACTGTAAATCCGGGATGTATATAGAGGGGATGTGCTCCTGACCTCTAAAAGTGGCACTTAGCTGATACTGATTTTTTTGAACTCAAGTGTGTGGGTAAGTCCTATTACTGAAACTAAACTAGAAGTAGTTTATAAACTGGAAGGAACTAGAGGTTTGAGAAGTTTTCAGTGTTGCTGCTGTGATTCCACTTATTTTCCTGATCTTTGGAAATCTTTTTTATTTAAAAAAAAAATTTTGGAATGAGGAGAGGAGGAAGTTGAGTTTGTGGTAAGGATGACTTTGTGTTGAAGACTACATGAGGTACACATGAAAAAGCTATCTTGCTGGACAGAAGACTTCTTAACTACTGTTTAATGAAAAATCCAGACATGAAAAGTTATAAATGGTGGCTTTTTAAAGAGTCTGTGTTGGAAGTGAATCAATAAAAGCTGGTTCTTGTCCAATTCTTGTTTAAGGTTCAACCACAATGGCTTGCTGGGGAGCAAAGAAATTATGTTATGCCTCCGGTAAGTCTACAAAGTTAAGCTTCTGGCTTCTCAATTAGCACACTGTTTTCACAGTTTAATACTTAAAGTCAAACTGTGTGGCTGGTTCTGTATGTAATCTGGTCTATACAAATCTGTAGCTGCTGATAAGAGTAGGTAATTGTTTAGGATTTCCTACTGACATGGTGCTTTTTCAGGGGGGCTGCCTGGCAGAACAGAACTACCTGTTCTGTGGCATTACTCTGTGTTCTGGTCAGAGTTCTGGAAATTTAACGTGAATGGAATTGGTTTTTCATAAAGTTGAAGGAAAAATAAACTGTGACCTGATACACAATCCTGACTTAAAAGATCTGTATAATGTTACTGCTTATTGTTCCAATTTTTGTTTTTAAATTTAAAAAGCCTCAATATACTCTGCTCTGCAAGTACTAATTATTTTTTTGGCTCCTTTCAACAGCCTTTTAAATTATTTGCCAGACTACTGTAGACTGTAGATGGTGCTGAAGGCTTCTAAAGAAATTACTTGCTTTCTGTGACTTCACACAAGAGAAGAAAAAATCTTATGTATTTCTTGAAGTGTTGGAACTTAAACTTGCATTTTAGGGCTTTTTAGGTTCCTTTGGGTATAATCTTGTATTTATTGAGTACAGTTCCTATTAGGTGTTTAAAAGCTGTAATACTTAATCTTCTTCTGAACAGTAGTCTTTCAAGCTAATTCCCAGCAGATGTCTGTAGAATTTGTGGAAGGTAAATGGGGAAAAAATGAAGAAAATTGAACTTTGTACATGTATATTGCTGCCCACAAGCATCTGATCATATTAAAACAATACTTTTTCTTTCTGCTCACTTTCAGTTAATGAACTAAGCTTTGTTTTCAACTTCTTGGCAGAGAAGCAGCCTTTTAGTTTCCATGAATAGTCTGTGTCTTTTAGTGAGAACTACCTTTACTTAATGGGGGCAGAAACAGACTAAATATAGAGTTCAGAAGTCACTGAAATACTGGTTACCCTGTGACTTGAAATAATTTTTGTTGACTACCATCCATCAACGTGTAGTATGTCACAACAATTAAATGGTAGCAAGCCAGAAAGTTTTTAGAGTAGGTGTGCATCATGGTTCTCATTAGACATTTTAAACCCAATTATATGAGCAGAGAATTTTTTGGAAGTATCTCAGTTAAGCCACTCTTAAGTATTCTTCACCAGATTGTTTGAGGACAAGCATGTAAGGAGATAGGAAATGTCATCCTTCAGACTACTGCTTTATAACTACGTATTTGTTTGGTGGATAATCACAATTCCATGCATAAATGGAATGCCTACACTGTGATGAGGTCAGATACGATGATACCCTTTTTGATGGTTTGGGATGGTGCTCAGAAAGGAATAGTCTGTTAACATTGTAGGCTTCTGCCTCTCCCAGTATTGTCAGCTTGGAATTACAGTTCTGGTGTTGAAGGGCTTTTGAGAATGCTGGGTGGCACACCTTGTGTATAGTCACAAACAGCATCCTTAAGACTGGTGTTGCAAGAAACTGATAGCTACTGTCCTGTCTGTGTAAACCTGACAAATTTGAGGGGGGGAGGGGAAATTTGGCCCCTGAAAAGTGATAGTACTTAACCTTGTTTTTGATACTGGTAAAATTGGCTGTAAAAGCTGCCAGTCCTCTCTGGAAGGGTGCTTCCATAAAAAGTAACTACTTTATCAGCCTCTTTGCTATTGTAATTAAACTATGCACTGGGTTACCACTGTACTGTAAGCAGGGAGAAGTAGGGAGAGGTTTCTTTCAAAAAAAAAAATAATTGTAAAATGGCTTGTGCTTTTCTAGACCATTTTACATCTTAAAAAAAAATTCAATTAATTAGCATGAAGGAAGCTTCAAACAAGAAAGGAACTGTACAGAGAGAAGCAACTTCTTGGAAGGGCAGCAGTAGTAGATGTTTTGCTTCCTCTTTCATTTGATTTTAGTGCTTAATTTCTTGAAGTTATGTGCTGGTTGTCTCAAATTCTCAGTGAATTCCTTCATTGCTCAATGTGCTTGATGGCAAAACCCATACATGGAGGAAATAGGTTGGGGAGCTAAATCTCAAGAGTGATTACAGTGGGCAGGAAAGATGTTAGAATATATGCTTTTTGGAAGAAAGTAGAACTGTCTTAATGGATCAAGATATCATGAAACTTTATTGAAAGTGTGAAGATAAAGTTAGCATACTTATGGATAGGTGAGGACCAGTGACAACACAACTGTGTGCATTTTCCTAGTGTTACTGAAATATTAAAAAAATTACAGGTTTATACTTCAGTAAGCTATCACTGCACTGAGGATCCAGAATTTATACAGACAGAATGTGCTGTTCCAGAGCCTGCACAGTCGTCTGCCAACAGTCCACAAAAGGTAAGTGCTTTCTAATGCTTTTTGTCAATCCTATTCACAGAAATTTGCATATGTGGTTTAGTAAAGAGGGCCTCTGACAGGTCTCCTAGAAATTAAGGTTAGAGTTGCTGTATTAAACAGTTTGCTCCATCTACTGTATCTTTCTGTGAACAACGTCAGAAGCTTCACATTTTGTTGAAATTATTAGTGCTTGTCTGTAGTGCTGAGGGCTGTATAAAATGTGTGTTCTGCTTTGTTAAGTATAATAATGTTTTTAAGTGACAAGGCTTTACTTAGTCTGAGAATTACAGGGGAAATTTCAGGTACTGAAAAAGCTGGTTAGGTAGCGCTGCTTGCTGTCTTACACAGATTTATTTTAAGCGTCAAGCCTATGAATTGGTAATGTTTTATTCCCTTGTTCACTTTCTTTTGTGGAAGGTGATCCCAGTTTGGTCAGCAGTTTGCACTGAATTCAATTTTGAAAGGAGACTTTCAGCTGTCATCCTATTTCACAGCTGAACTGAGATGTCACTGTTAGAATCCTTATGTTGTAACATCTAAGGGTATTAATGAGCTACCAACATTAAAAGATTAAAAAAGACAAAGAGCTCAGAAAACATAAATAAGGCAGTTGAGAGGAATCCTGAATGCAAAATAAACAGTGAGACCCACACTGCTAGTAGTGGGCTAACTAAGAAAATCAGTATTGTTGTAGATGTATAACTGTATTTCAGAAGTCTGTGGACAGAAGCATACAAACAGCAGTATCTTGTCTGTTTAATCCTGAGAGCCGCCTGAGGAACACCTTTGTATCGCAGGAAGACTACTTTAAGGTATGTAGTGAAAGCAAAAATCATATCCTAAACTACAGCTGACCTTCAACTTGTTCACCTGCAAGATATCATAAAGATTAAGGGTTTCATATCTAGAATGCCATTTGAATTTTTTTCTTGTACCTGCTCTGGGATGTATGGGTCCAGCTCTGAGTGGATTTAATCAAGACTGCATAAAAAAATTGCTTAACAATCAACTCACAGACACTTAAGAGCATGAAGCTTACTAATCTTTCCTCAGTGACAATTATTGAAAGGACAGTGGGTTACTCCCTGGTTTGGATGTAGGATGTTGAGTTTGAGCCTTTTTATAGTCTTTACACCAGTTAAGTACCCACTGTGGATGGCAGCTTTTCATACTTTGTGTAAATCCCTATGCTTTAATCAATAAACTACTCCATACTGGTAGCAGGTCATCATATTTTTGCTGTGTGTGTTTTCAGTCTTTGTAGAATTGCAGTTTCTGATTCCATTCCAAGTGATGTTTAATTTCTGTTGTTTATTAATCTTTTATAAGACTGCTGTTTTTTAAAAGGACGGACACATGAACTAGGCACATATACTCTGAAACAGAAATACAGAAGCTGTATTTATCAGTTCGGGAGGGGGGTAAATTAGAGTGCAGAATGTCTTGAGATACTTTTCATGAAACTTCAGTTGCTTTATTCTGATTGTTACCTATAAAAAATTGTCTTCCCATCTTTTCTCCTGTGTCAATCTAGGAGAGGAAGGTGCATCACTTCAGAAGAGGAAGAGCAGTACTCAAAAGTGTTTGATGAACAAAGACTTTAAGAGTATCTAAATTCATTAATTTGATGTTACTACAGTTCAGTTGAGCAATGTATGCAGTATAACCTTTTTCAAAATGTTGCTTCCAGTTGAAGTTTGTGTTCCTGTTCTACCTGTTTTGATAGTTGTTTTTGCTTGAGTAGCTTGAAGTTTAAAGTTAAAAGTTGACAAACTTCCAGGTTTTATTAATTGCTTGCATGTTTCTGCTGGTAACTGGAATGTTAAAGAGTTTTTATGTAGGAAAAACACATTGTTTTTGATGCATGTGGATTTTCTTCTGAGCTTTAAGGTACAGTTTGTATGTTACACTGAGTTTTTCTTAAACCACAATTTGACTAATACTGACCAGTTACTTCTTGAAGTTTAAAAATGGCAGCAGTTATTTGCCCAAGAGTTTGTATTTTACAACTGAGCTCTCGATGTCTTCTGTTCCACTGATTAAGTTGTAACTTAGCTGAAGCCCTTAAGTCCTGGTTGTCTTTGGACTACCTAATCAATGTGGTTACGTTCCTGAATGACAGTTTATGTACCTGCAGTCGTGAGCATTTATTGGTTTTGGGAAAGTAATTAAGAGAATCCTAAAATTCCTATATGTAATTTAAGATGCACGAATTAGCTGTATTGGCTACTCAGAGTACACTTTTTACTTGAAAAATTTTAGCAACACCTGTATGTTAAAATTGTGAGAGGAAATACTGCCTTTAAAATATGCCTTAATGTCATGCAAATGGTTAATCAAAGAATATCTGTAAGCCTATTTTAATAATTATGTAGATTTTAGTCATGTAATTTGAAACAAATTTTTATTTTGACTTTGGTTTCCCAGATTTCTGGTGACATGCTAATATAATACTACAGTTAATTTTAAACTATCTTGGAAAAAGACTTGGAGCATAATAAAGACTTGTTGATGCTATTAAAAATGTATTGCCCTGTATGAGAATTCCAGTTTTGTAGCAACAAACGTAATTTTCTTGTTACCAGCTGCAGTTTTGAAAGAGTAGAACTGAGAACTGTATTCATTCTTGCATGTTGGGTCCTAGTCTGCTTTTCTCATCCTACTCCCAACACCTCAATTTCTTCAGACAAAAAAGGACATGCCTCACTTGTTGAGGATGTATACATGAGTTTGGATAAGATTGTATGTTCTGCTGCAGATTTCCGAAAGGTTTAGAAGTAGTAATGGCTAGGAAAAGACTTGCCCAGAAGTAGATGTTAGTGAAATGTATACAAGGGAACTGAGTTGTTGCAGACTTGGACATCTAAGGGAATATGGCTGCAGCATGGAAAATATTCAAGGACTGCTTCTTGGGAGTGCTCTGGATGAAACTTTATTCAGGGGGCAGGGGGAGAATAGAAATGATTATAGGTTTTGAGCCACTTTATGCAGAGTTGTACTGATGTTCTGATAATATTAACAGCTTTGCTTTTTCAGGTCAGTTTACCTTTCCTCTGCTCAGACTGTTCTGCATGTACCTAAGCAGCCTACTCAGGCTGTTAAAGCTGTGATGTCAGTTTATTGATAAAGGTAATTGTTTCTTTGCAAATGCAGATTTCATTTTGGCTTAATGTTGTAGTTGGCTTGATTGCCCTGGGATGTATTTGAGGCTTTATTTGAGCTGTAAGAAAACACAAAGTGCCTATGTGTACTTCTCATTGAAGAGTCAACACCAAAAGAAGAGATAGAACAGAAGATATCTACATAGAGTGCATATTTTATGTTTATTTGACCAAGTGTTACCCATAAGACCATCTGGTTGAGTGAGTTGATTGTTCAGTATGTTTGAAATGGTGGTGCTAGATAGGAACTGTTCTTGCAAGCATGCTGAGAAGGCTTATCACAGTGAAATGCATAGCCTAGGCCTTATGAGCGCCATTTATTTTCTGTTCCATTAGATGATGTTGTCCTGGCTTAGTTAGCCATTTCTCACCCTAAGGAAACTTAGGTTTTTTTATTCCCATCTGGGAATTGTACATCTTGTTACTTTTACTGGCTATGACACAAGTTATAACTAAGAACATGCATTTTAAATGTTCTTTTGAAGTACCCTATAAGCATAACACAGAAACAGTAGGTAAATCTCTTTTGTGTTGCTTTCAGAAAGTTGAAACATCTGTTTAATATGGCTGTAGCTGAAGGCATTTCCAAAATAGGTGCACAATTGGAGCTTCTTGTAAATTCATACCTCTTGTATTATCAAATCAAGTGGACTGTGTTAGTTGTGAGCTAGTAGGGAGTTCTTGTGGATCTGCCTTTGCTTGCACAGAGTACATACAGTCTCTGTGGGACCCCAAAGCATGCAAGTCTCTCCTGTAAATAGTAATAAAGGTTTTTTGTCAAAAGAAAACTGATTAAGACAAGATAAATACATTAAATTCTTGCATTTGCGTGGTATTATAGAATGACACTTGCTTGTTTTATATTTCTTTACCTGAAGTGTCCCAGTGAGCTTTTTGGTGCTGTGGCCTTTTCATACTGTGTTCACTAGCCTTGCCACCTGACAGAATTATTCTTGGAATAAGACAGCCAGCCAGATGGTATTCTTGGATCTCCATTAGAATGATTGTCTGGCACAGACACTAATTCCCTGTCAAAATGGAAATATTTTTTCCTTCTAGGTATTTGTGTGCTAAACCAAGATGCTGAATTCTGTCTTATGAGAAGGTGATCTTATCCTTGAATGCTACAACGAAACAAAAGGCTATTCCCGTAACTGTATTTCACAGGGTTTTCTTTTGCATACCTTAATGGAACAGATTTTTGAAGTCCTTTAAAGGTATGCAGTCTCTGTTTCTTGCAGGAATGACTTAGTAGACCAGTATTTTAGGATAGATGTGTAATTTAAAAGCTTGAATGTTTGCAACTTACAATGTAACTGAGAGTTTTTTTAAAAAAAAAGTGATTTCATGCTATAAAGAGAAACTATCAAAGCTTTTTCAGATAAAACCTATATTTCAAGAAAAAGCTTAAGTAGCTTTACAATCTAGATGAATTCTTTATTAATTTTTCTACTCTGAGGTGAATGGCACTTTAAAGTTTCTTGAAGTGGAATTTCACTGTAATTCTTTTCTTTAAGATGGCACTAGTTGAGGTTACAAAGGCCTTTGTATTGTTCCAGTGACTGTTACGGCTTTAGTGACTGAATACAAAGGTTTTTTTTCTAGAAGTTCTGGAGTGAACGTCTGTGTACTTGGTGCTCAAGACAAACATGAAAAAGGGTTGTTAATTCTTTTAACTTAAGGTTGGGAGATTCTAGTACGTATAATAATGAGGAGGACAGGTTTTACATTTCAAGATACATTGCTCTAAAATATGATGTCAGAGCTGAAGTTAAGGATTTTTATTCATACAGTAACTGTTTAGGACTAGGACCATAAATAAAATCACAAAACCTCTCTGAAAACCTCTGAATACATAGTCCAGTAAAGATACATGCTGTAATCAGTCAGTATGTTCCTGATGCAGTGGAATATTAGGGGTACTACTTGTAAGACGGTATTCTACCTATGGGTCTGCAGTACTCTTCTACACTTCTTGGGGTGTGTTTGTAATCATGCCCTGTTAGGGTTTTACCTGTTAAACTGTTTCTATTGGTACTTACGTAGTCAGGTGTTCAAATTTCAATGTATTGTTTGAACTGTCAAGGAGGCTGATTTTTCTCTTCCCCTACCCAGTTCAAGGTAAGTCTGGCTTTATCCACTAATGCTTTCTGTCTTAAATTTAGAGGAATAATGCTGTGCTCAGTAGTGCCTTTTTTGGCTAGGACAAACAACCAAATGTTTTTTCCCCTTTATTTGTGCTGGTTCCTTTAGTACACCATGAATGAGTGTTCAAGGAGTTCTTAGACTTCTTGCAAAGTCTATCTAGAACAATTTAGGACTAGAACCACCAGTTAATAGAGGTAGTTCACTTTTTTCCCTGGGAGAAATTGGTTTTTAGAACTGTAAAATCATAGAATGGTTTGGCTTGGAAGGGACCGCTAAAGGTCTTTAGTCCAACCCCCTTGCCATGGGCAGAGACACACTAGATCAGGTTGCTCAAAGCCCTGTCCAACCTGGCTTGTTTGGGGGATAGGGCCATCCCCATGTTTCCAGGGAGGGGGCATCCACAACTTCTTTGGGCAACCTGTTCCAGTGTTTTACCACCCTCACAGTAAAGAACTTTTTCCTTATATCTAATCTAAATCTACCCTCTTCCAGTTTAAGACCATTACCCCTCATTCTACTTATACACCCGCTGATAAGAGTCCCTCCCCATCTCTCGTGTAGCCCCTTTAAGTACTGGAAGGCTGCTATAAGGTCTCCTTGGAGCCTTCTCTTCACCAGGCTGAACAACCCCAGCTCTCTCAGCCTGTCCTCATAGGGGAGGTGTTCCAGCCCCCAGTCATTCTTGTGGTCTCCTCTGGACCTGCTCCAGCAGGTCTGTGTCTTGCCTGTGCTTGAGGACTCCAGAGCTGGACACAGCACTCCAGATAGGGTCTCACTAGAGTGGAGTAGAGGGGGAGAATCGCCTCTCTCAAAGTTTTGGTCTGTAGCAGTTCATGTGGTCATACGTGATTGAGCTGTGCAGCCATACAGTTCTTGCCATAGGTTGGCTTTAAGCTGATGTAGAAAGTTAAATTATTAAAACAGGACTAATGGCTTCTGTGCATCATGACAAGCATGATAAATGGCTTTCTTAAAATATGCAAAGGGGATCCTACATGCATGTGGTGGAGTAATCTTTTAGGAATGCTTGTAATTGGGATGGGTGCCCCCTTCTACCTCTGGCTTTTAGGAGGATATTAAGGCAGGTAACGGAATATGTGTTGGTCAGAGTCCATATGCTACATCATAGAGTAATTTAGATTGGAAGGACCTTTTAAGATCGAGTCCAGCTATAAGCCTAACACTGCCAAGTTCACTACTGAACTGTGTCCCTAAGTGCCATATCTGCATGTTGTTTAAATACCTTCAGGGATGGTGACTCAACTAGGTGAAGAAATTTTTCGTAAAACCTAATCTGAACTTAGCCTGGTGTTGAAGGATTTCACCAGACTGTGGATACCTCTAGGCTTGCTTTTATTAACAACTCAGGAGTTGGGCCATCACCTCAGTGAGTGGCACTAGTTAATAAAAAGTGGCCTCTATATATATGATTCTACATAACATGGAATACAAAGAATCT